CGACTGTCAGGGTACAAGGTAGTCATTTAGAGCTGAGAGTTATTTCAGAGATCACCTAGTTCAAACCTGTCATGTGACAGAGGGGGAAATTGAGGCCCAAAGAGGGAAATGACAGACAGGAAATGGACACACAGGTAGAAAGCAGCCAAGATTGGAACCCTCTAATTCCATATCCACTGCTCTTTCCACAACAGCCTTTAGCAATGACCTTAGACCAAGCGCCCATCAGGCTGAGCTCCCAGACACAGGGGGTTCTGGGACACAGCATCAGTGCTCTGGATAGCAGAGAACCAGGACTCCTCAAAATATTTTTCATTAATAAAGAAATCATAGAAAAGTCATCTCTACAAACTTTTCTGCTGTCTTCACCACAGTCCTTGCAATGCCTAGTCTTGGCCTTGATCCTGGCCCCGTACTAATTATGGGACATCCCAGGGCCCTACACCTCGACCCACTCCCAACCTCTCAGAGCTCACCTCCAAATCCAATGTCCCCCCAACCAGAGACCCAGCATTCCATGTCTGGAGTGAAGATCTGCGAGGCTTCAGGGAGCATGATGATTTGGACATTCTCATTCAACTGGACAGGGCACTGGAGTTTTAGCAGGGCAAGGTCAGAGCCTGCCATGAAATCAGTATAGTAAGGGTGAATGATGATCTCTTCCAGGGGTACCAAGTTGTCATCTTCATATAGATTCTGTCGCCTCAGTTGGATCATATATTGTGAAATTTCCATTCCATATCTGGAAAAAAGAGGGAGAATAATATTCCTTGGAGGGGCTGCATGGCCCAGTCCAAGTATCCTGAAACCCAATTGTACTTATCTGGCCTTCTAGCTCTCAACCATGGAACTGAGCATTTGGACCTTCTTGGAACTCCCATAGCCTCCCCCCACCAAAACACAGGGAAGTTCCCTAGCTCTCCCTCTGCTAACTCTCCTTCTCTTTCCCCTGGATTTCCCATTTTATCATAGTAACAGTACCATTCATCTGTTAGGCACTTTGCACATGAAAAAGGGATTTTTCATCCAATAGCCAACTGAGGAAGTCAGGATAGGGATTGGTATCCCCATTTTACAAAACTGAGGCCCAGAGAAGAGAAGAGACTTGTCCAAGGTCATTCAGTGAGTTAGTATGTGTCACAGTCTGAACTACAATCCAGCTCCACTTTCTCTGAGACCTGAGGCTCTCTCTGTCCCACCCCTGCTTCATCTCCCCCTGCACCTCTGAGAGGGAAGAAGGTGACTCACCCAGGAAAGCAGTGGGCAGCAGTCAGGACCCAACTGGGATGGATGAGAGAGCCCCCACAGACATGCATCCAGAAATCACCAACATTTTTCCTCAGACTGATCTGCCATGGCCATTCTCCCTCCTGAGCATCATCGCCCCCAGCAATCCTAGGCTCCAGCATGTCTGGATAGAGAAATGGGTGATTGCGCAAAAAGATCCATCAGTGTTGTGAATCCTGGCATCTAGCTCTCATGCCAGGATCTCATACATTGCCAGTGATCACTCCCGGCCTTCAGATCCTCTGCCAAGAGCTGGTTGGCAGCTGACGTGTCATCACCTATCTCCCAGTAAACAAAGTAGCAGTAGCTGACATTTCTACAGTATATTAATCATTTAAATTGCCTTTCCCATGAACTCTGTCCATTGATGATCCCATCTGATCCTTATACAACTCTATGGGGATAGATATTACAGGTATTATCATTTTACAGAAGAGGAAACTGAGGTCCCGAGTGGTTAAGTATTAGAAACAGAAATAAGATTGAAGTTAGGTCTTTCCTTACTCAAAGTCTAGCACTCTCCACTACAACTTTCTGTCAATCCTTCCAGAAGTCTCTATTGAGCACCACTGTGTGCCAATGCACTGTGCCATGTGCCCAGAATGCAAGGGCAAAGAATGAAAGTATCCTGACTTAGAATGAGCTCACATTCACTCTGGGAGAAGTCAGAGATCCATTCACCTAGAAACTAGCTCTGCTCCAAGCAAAGTAGCCTACCCCAAGGAAAGAGCTGAACCATTCTCTCCTGGATCCCAGGAGATACTCTCCATGAGGCCACCAAAGGGCTGAGCACTGGAAACAGGAATTTCAGGGTATAGGCAATGCTAGGTTGGGGCTATAACTTACCTCGAATCACAGGGACTGAGTTTCCCAGGAGGGGAAGGGCCAGAAGGAGCAGGTAAATCATCTGGAGGGAGAGAAAAGGGAGAGGGCTCAGGTCAACAGAGAAGGGCTCTGGTTGCTGGAGTCTGGGGTGGAGCAAAGTCCTCCAGCCCAACATCTCCATCCAACTGAGCCTGGGCTGGGTAACCAAGGTGTGAGAACAGAGCAGGAGTCTTACTTTGATCTGCTTCTCCAGCTCTGTGTTTCCCCCTTGGTCAGCACCCTACTTATATACCCATAACAGGAAGTTTAAAAAAAAAAACAGAAGAGAGAGATTGCCCACGGGGGCATTTAGCCCTCCTCTGGGGATTGGAGGGAGAGGTAAGGTGGTGGAGCAAGGGGATTTGGGATACACAAAGGTCAACAACCAGTCAGATCCTGAAGTTCCCATTTTCTCCTATTCCATCCCCACCCCCTTTCTGCTCCTCAGGCCATCTTCCCCATTTTTCTGGATGCTTCAAAGTCTTGGCCTCTGGCACCAATCTTAACCAGACTAAAGGCATTTAGGACTCCCTAAATGCTCAGACTTCCCCTACCTCTATGTTGCTTTCTTCTCTCAAAGCACTGATTCCAGATATGTATAGGTACTATAGTTATCTGTCAGAAGCATGGCATATTGGATAGACAGTTGGCCTTGGTTTCAACACCCACATTTGACTCATATTC